AAAATATATAAAGAACTCATGCATCTCAACAACAAAAAAACTAACAACCCAATTAAAAAATGGGCAAAAGACCTGAACAGACATTTCTCCAAAGAAGATACACAGATGGCCAACAGGCACATGAAAAGATGTTCAACATCATTAATTATCAGGGAAATGCAAATCAAAATTACAATGAGATATCACCTCATGCCCGCCAGATTGGCTACAATTAACAAGACAGGAAACAAGTGTTGGAGAGGATGTGGAGAGAAGGGAACTCTCATACACTGGTGGCTGCAAACTGGTGCAGCCACTATGGAAAACAGCATGGAGATTCCTCAAAAAATTAAGCACAGAACTACCATACGATCCAGCTATTCCACTACCATACGATCCAGCTATCCAAAGAACGTGAAAACACCAATGCGTAAAGATACATGCACCCCTGTGTTCATTGCAGCGTTATTCACAATAGCCAAGACTTGGAAGCAACCCGAGTGCCCATCAAGGGACGAATGGATAAAGATGTGGTATATATACACAATGGAATTCTACTCAGCCATAAGGAACGATGAAATCCAGCCATTTGTGACAACATGGGTGGACATTGAGGGTATAATGCAAAGTGAAATAAGTCAGAGGGAGAAGGTCAAATACCATATAATCTCACTCATTAAGTAGTAGATAATAACAACAAACTCACACATACAGACAGAGATTGGCTTGGTGGTTACCAGAGGGGAAGGGGGGAGGGGGGAGGGTGAAAGGGATAATTAGGCACATGTGTGTGGTGACGGATTGTAATTAGTATTTGGGTGGTGAACATGAGAACATGATGTAATCCATGCAGCAACAGATTATAATGATGTATACCTGCAACTTATACAATATTATAAACCAATGTTACTGCAATAAACAAAAAAATAAAAAAATAAGATGATAAATTAATGAAGCAAAAGAAAGATGAGAGAAATGCTGCATCAGTAAACTCGAGAAGGCAAAACGGATGGATGGTTTCTAGTGCACAAGGGCAGAGGTTGACCTTTGATGGAAACACAAACCGTTCATTCAGAGCAATGAAAGAAAAGGCAGATTATGTGAGCAGACTCAGGAAGGTGGGTAGATGTGATGGTGGAAGCTTATGCAAGTTCTCTTTGATTGCTTCATTGTTCTAAGTGAAATAAGACACAAAATAAACAGCTGACAGTGAGAATGCAGGAATGAGCATCAGAAAGGGGCAAATTCTGAGTTCAGTTGTATAGCTGAAATACGCCTTCCTGTGGTTTATATCCTATGATCCCACATACTCAAGCAAAGCATTATTGTTTCTTATACTCTAAATGGCCAACTAAATGTGATGTTTCAAATGACGCCCTATGGAAGAGAAAGCAGCAGCAGCAAGAATCCATTTCCAAGAAATCCTAAAAGAATGTCTCTTTAGAATCCTGAGTAATATACTAGACTACATGCAATGAACACAGGAAGTATTCTATTTGGATCCCCTATTTCATTACAGATCTAAGTGTAAAAGAAGAGTAATGATTTTAAAATAATAATCTTCCAGAAACTACCTCAGGCGTTGGTGAATATTATATCCATGAGAATTAAGAATCCCTTTTCCTGAAGCTAAGGGTTCCAGTAGAAAGCCCATGTGCTTAATCTGGCCTGCCTGACCTCAGGGTACAGTCTGCCTGGAATAAATTATTTTTTAAGCAAAAAGTATTTTTACCCTAATTGGTATAACTGTGAACTGTAAGTCTAGCCATCTGTCCACTCCCATCCTATCCAGGAGGCATGCCAGCAGTAGATTCAGATCAATTTGTAATTTAGCTAAAATTGTAGGTTATTATTATTAGCTGTTCAATTTTATTTCCACAAAATTATATCACAACACAAAATTATTTTGAAAGATTACTGCAAAAAGGCAAACAGATAAGAAAAGCCACTATTTGCCCATGACCTATATATGCATCACATCTAATAATCATGCATCAAGCTTGATCATCTTTGCTCTTTTTTGTCAATAAAAAAAATTAATGCAAGATGTTCATATGCTGATCTTGAGGTCTATCAAAAGAAATCTTCCTATTCTGATTGCTTTCTTGGCTAATTCCTGCTGGGCCTTCCTTGAACTTTACATTAAAAAACAAAGCCTAGTTTGAAATTTTTTTCATTTAATAAGTAAATAAATGGGAGTCAAAATCCACAAGGAAAGAGATCTTATCCCTGAGTCGGTACCAGGTCTAAATAGGTGGGAAAGAATATTTATTTATTTATTTATTTTTGCTGAGGAAGATTCACCCTGAGCTAACATCTGTGCCAATCTTCATTTTGTATGTGGGTCTCCACCACAGCATGGCTGCCAACCAGCGGTGTAGGTCCACACCCCAGAATTGATCTCGAGCAGCCAAAGCGGTGCGTGCTGAACTTAACCATTAGGCCACAGGGCCGGCCTCCAAAAATATTAATTTTTCTTTGACCTTTTCTTTAGGAATTATACCAATCCCAAATTATCTCTTTGAGGCAGGTCCTATTATTATCTCTATTTTGCAGATAAGCAAACTGAGGCACACAGCTGTCAAATCATTTACCCAGGGGTCATCCAACTAGGAAGTGAGAACTGTTACCCTTCATAACTCCTGGATGCACTGCTGCATGAGGAAGGTTCAGAAAGCATCAACAAGGACATGAAGGGGAATGCTGACTGGGCAGAAATGTTCAGAGCTGAAATATGACTTCAGAACTATAAAAACCACCTTGGAAAAAAACTAGAATCAATGGAGCAGGTACCGGTTTTAAATAACCATAATTAGACACAAATAGCTGAAGCTATGTTTGAGTTTTATATCAGTATAAAATGAATGTGCTTTTAAGCCAGTAATCTGAAAAATGCCATTCATTAAAAAGTAATGTAGAAAAGTAATAAATCACAACACTTGCTTGCCTGCAGTATAATTTCAAAAGTTATATTATGTCATTTATATAACTTTAATACAGTTAATTATCAAATTAGTAGTATACACTTGCATTTTAATATAAAAACACAATAATTAAAAAATCTATTGACCAGATAGATGGTCAATAATCAGATGCTAAGTATTATTCCTGTTACGAGTTTCAATTTGTAACTAGTAATAACAACGAAAAATGATAGACATTATTTTAATATAAACTATTGGCATCTAAAATTAATTTATAATACATAAAGGTTTTTGCAGAGATGAGAATCAAGAGTTCTACTGAAATAATAAATCATCAAAATGTCAACTCTGAAGAAATTTCTATATTAAAATTCCTTTGTAGAAACTGTCATGAAAAATTAACTTCAGAGAACATTATTTAATTCTGTGTTCTATCTAGCTTTAATTAAAATTAATTTTTACATAAGGAAATTATGCTTTACCAAGTTATTTATAATGCTTTCAGCAATATTCTAGCATATATAGTCACTTAAGTCATCAGCAGATTCATAGGAGGAAATATATAAAATACATAACTTTGATAAACTCGGGGATGTATGAAAATCTTGCAAGAAGAGTAAAGGAACATTACGGTTACACACAAGCCTGAGGTTTAAGTTTCCCAAGGGAATCGCTCTGAGACCTTGCATTAGCGATCAGATTACCCACAGCGACCTGGATAATCTGATACTTTCTAAGCGAATTCTAATACTCGTATTTCACCAGGTTTTCATTATTTTTCCTATTTTATAATTTTTTTTATTTAGGGCTCCCTGATGTTTGGCTTATTTGCAAATGTTTGTCGCACTGAAAATCTGGCCTTCGTTTTGTAAAAAAGGTAGAGAATTCAAGTTTTAGCAAAACAAAACAGAAAAACGTCTGCTGGAAGGTGAAAGGAAAGACCCAGGGAGCCAGCGGGGACGCAAGTGTCCCCAGCAGAAACTCCTCGGGGTTTGCAGGGACCTGCCGGGTCGGCAGCACACGGCCGGATCCCCACGCACCCCACGGCGGGCGGCGAGCGCGAAGTTCCGGGGACTTCCGGGGCTGAAGCTGCCGAGGCGCCAGCTCATCGAGGGCCGAGCCCGGGGAAGGCGCTGCTGGCTGGCTCTGCCGCCGGGAGAAAGCACAGCAGCGGCCGCCCGCCCGCGGGAGGACACTCCACAGGAGCGCGGGGTCGAAGTACGCCGCGCACCCGGAAGTGCAGTGGCCGCCGCCGGAAGTGCTGCCGGAGCCCTCCGCGCGCCCCCGGCCTCAGCCGCCCGTCCAGCTGCCCATTGCCCACCTCCGCACGCACCTGTACTCGCCGCGCAGGCCTCTCTGCTGTCGGAGACCGGGGACCGCGGGCCTGCGGGCGGGGCGGGTGGGCGGCAAGAGGCGGGCAAACAGGAGCCCCGGAGCCCGCGGGTCCCGAGGTCCGGCGCCGCGGCCGCCGCGTCCTGACCCAAATAGCGGAGGCGCCGGGGGAGGAGCCCGCGGCCGCACGCCCCGCGGCACCCGCCTCTTCCCGCGGGGCTCGGCTCCCCGGGCGGGCGCCCGGCACACCTTTCACAGAAGAAAACGGCGCTCCGCCGGGCGCCTCGGCCCGCACCGGACATTGTCGCCTGGCTGCCGCCTCCCCTCGAAGCCCGTCTTCCCCCAGACCCCCGCGCCCGGCCCGGCCGGAGGCTCGGCGCGCACTTTCCACCTCCCAGCGCGCTGCCTCCCATCGCTGCCGCTCCCCGAACCTGCCCTCACCCCGCTTCCTTCCCGCTCCCCCAGCCCTTCTTTTGTGCCCCTCTCCAGGCGCAACCTGAATTTTCTTTCCTCCGCATGACAGGCAACCGCAGACGTCTTGCACTAATTAGTAATCATGTCCGCAGCCACGTTTCCTAACTTCACTTGAACTCACATTCCCTTTTAATGAGCAAACTCCGCAACCTGTTGGTCCCCCCACCACTCTTAGTTGCCTTTGGATGAAAACCATTATCTTCTCAGATGCTTAACGTTGGAGAGTTTACTCAGCTTCACTTTCTGTGGTTTGTATAATGAAAATAAAATTATGCCAAATAAACTCTTAAAAACTGCACACCCACTCCCTTCTGTACTGTCCTCACGTGGAGCTTGAAATCTGGGCTTGCAGAGAACTTAGTCTTGATTACTAAATTCCTCACCAATGTACTGAACGAAATTAAAAACGAGTACACTCCTATTTACCAAAAAAACTCCTCTGAAAAATCAGAAGGCTGATATTACATCCAAACAATACTGTTTACTGATGGGGATTCTGTAGGATCTTTAAGACTGTAAGATGTATGTTGAACTTTAAGCAAGCTGCACTGAAGAATAAGTAAGCCTAAGCATAGTCATTTTATTAAAACTAAGTTATATTTTGCAAGACAACAAACCTTAATCTCTAAGATTTGAAACTAGTAAAGCACTCCCTTCTAAGAACTGCTTTGACTCCCATTTTATTATGGTTTGCAAAAGTATTACAATATAATGCTAATATTTGATTTATTTAACCAGAATACAATATAATGTAAACCTGTCATGCATAGTGATAATAGTTTGTTTTTTTTTAAACAAGATTTGGTGACAAAAGAAACTTTACTGTCTCTTCATTAATACTTAAAAGAAGCTTAAGGCACCTTGAGACTTAAGCTTTTCCAGAGGAACCCACTGAGTTATTCAGTGCTGCATCCCCAGCACACAGCACAGAAGAGGTCCTTAAGAAAAATATGGCGTGTGGGCTGAGAACAGGGCCTTACCAACTCTCTGCTCCAGGAGGAAGATGGCAGCTGGCACTGACTTGTTCTTCAAGTTCAGGAGGTAGGGTAAAATAGCTGGACTCTTCCTGTGCACCTGTGTAACACCTGTTCCTCTGCCTGCCCTTGAATACTTTTCATTCTGTTCCTTGATCGGTAAAAATTATCTAAGAGGTAGAAACTCAGTGATAACCATTGACCTTTGGTAAAGTTAAAACTAGCACAGAGAGAAGCTATCATTGCCAGGCACTGTTGTAGGGAAGACATAAAAAAGAAATGCCTCCCCCTTCTCACCCTCCTCTCTCCTCCTAGGACTGTACAGTCTTAAAGGAACTTCTGAATAAAAAACAAAAGAAAACCACTAGGAATCTCACAGTTGCTGTCTATCATGGACTGAATGTTTGTGTTCTCCCAAAACTCATGTTCAAGCCTTAACCCCCAATGTGATAGTATTTGGAGGTGGGGCCTTTGGGCAATAATTAGGTCATGAGGTTGGAGCGCTCATGAATGGAATTAATGCCCTTAGAAGAAGAGTGAGAGACCAGAGTTCTTTCTATTTGTACTATGTGGGAATATAACAAGCAGCCAGCTGTCTGCAACCCAAAAGAGGATCCTCACCAGAACTCAACCATAGTGTCACTATGATCTTGAATTTCCAGCCTCTAGAACTGTGAGAAATAAATATTTGTTTTTTAAGCTACTGAATCTATGGTCATTTGTTATAGCAGCCCAAACTATGACTTTTTTTTTAATAATTTTTTTTGGTGAGGAAGATTGGCCCTGAGCTAACATCTGTGCCAATCTTCCTCTACTTTTTATATGGGATGCTGCCACAGCTTGGCTTGATGAGCGGCGTGTAGGTCCATGCCCAGGATCCAAACCTGCAAACCCCAGGCCACCAAAGTGGAGCATGCCAAACTTAATCACTGTGCCGCTGGGCTGGTCCCCTAAGACACTTTATTCATCACACCTAGCACAGCATTACAATCATCTGGCCCCTGTGACCATCAGGCCCTTCACAATATGTCCCCACTCACTTTTCCAGCTTTTCCCCACCATTTTCACCAGGCATCATCCAATACTTCAGCTATAGCCAAACTACCTCATCATGTTTCCCTAAGCCACCCATTTTCCAGTCTCTGTGTCCTTTTCAGGCTGCTGTCTGTGCCTGGAATACCCTGCACTTTGCCACCTGTCAAAAACCAATTCATCCAGTCTCATCCACTTCACTTGAGCAGCTGCTCTACACATTCTCTTCCTCCCCCAAATGAGTAATCATCTGTGTCCCGTCAAGACTTTTGCGGAAGGATAAGGAGTTTAAATGAATACAAAACCCCTCCCTGCTGTCTCTCAGCACACCTCCCTCATGTCACTGTATTGTTACTGCTTAGTCAGTGACTGTTGTGTCCGCGAGACTGTGAACATCTTCAAGGCAAGAATGTGTTTACCTTTGTATCCCCAGAGCCTGGCACAGTGCATGTACTCTATATTAGCTAAATATTTGAAAACATTTCTCCGAAAGTAACATGAACACTCAAGAGGAAAGCATTAAGAAATTTGTAGCCCTTCATATAGTATTAATTTGAGAAGTGTGTCAAGGGTTTGTGTGGGTGTGTTTTTTTCTTGGGTTTTATCTGTGGTTTTATTTCCAGGAAGCAGTTAAATGACAGTTAGTATTAGCCCTGTAACAGTTACCAGTATACTCCATGGCTAACTATTCTTAGAGTTCCTTGTCGTGTAATTATTTCCAAATCCTTTTATCACGTGTCAGTTTACTCAGTCAATAGACCATTAAGAGAAAATGAACTATTTAGTCAGAAGGCAATCAAGAGTTTTGCCTCCATTTCCTTGAGAAGATATACTCTTCTTTTTGTTCTAGAAATTTGATCTGGATTTTACTCTAAAGCTCAGGAATTAGTGATGGTCAGATAGTACAATTTACCTTCCAATACATTACATTTTTGCTCTTCAAGTTTTCTAATTCACCCTGAATTTCTTCATCTGTAAACTGAGGGCTGAGCTGAAAGTATGTTAGTACCACCATGTCATCCCCAACTCCTACCCCAAAACAGCAAAGTCTTTTCCAGGCTGGGGTGAAGAGAGTAATTTATTGCTAAATAACTGAAGAAATTATTTTAAAATGAAGAACACAATAACCATTGAGAGAGAGAGGAGAGATTCAAGGCTGGTTGTACAGACGAGAGCAGGGGTGGAGGGAGGAGCCAGCAGGCATAACGGGAGCTCCAGGTTCTCCTGTGGACTGTGAGGAGAGCAAACAACAGCAGGAGCAGCGGCTGCAGCAAAAACATTGATTGAGTCTTATACTCAGTTCCTGCTTTGTTCTTTACATGAATTACCTTTTTTTTTTATTTTGCTGAGGAAGACTGGCCCTGAGCTAACATCCATGCCAGTCTTGCTCTATTTTGTATGTGGGTTGCTGCCACAGCATGGCTGACAAGTGGTGTAGGTCCATGCCCGGGATCTGAACCTGCGAACCCGGGCCACTGAAGTGGAGTGCACTGAACTTTAACCACTACACCATGGGGCCAGCCCCTACATGAGTTATCTTATTCCATGTTCCCAACAATCCAGTGAGGTAAATATCATTACAGGTGAGGAAAATGAGGCTTAAAGAGGTGAAGAAACTTGTCCCAGGCCACACAGTCAGTTTTAGAGGCAAATCAAACCTAGCTTTGTCTGAGAGCCTTCCCTCCTAACCACTCCCTGTGAACCAGGCCTTGCTGCCTCTGACAGAACGTTTGAAGGGGAAACTTCATAGCACCCTTTAGTAAGCACATCATAGCACTTCTCACGTGATATTCTTCTGTCTGCAGAAGAGGGCCTTACCAACTCTCTGTTGGTAATATTCAACCAATATTGGTATTGGTTGAATACCAATTCCAATTGGCAACATTCCCCTGGACAGAAGAATATTTGGGGTTATTGGGGTTCAGCCTTCACTGCTCCTCTTACAGGAGGGACTGAATCTCCAGATCGGAACCCTTACCCCACGGAGGGCTTCCCTGTAGGGGTTACCATTATCTCTAAGCTATACAATTATGGTGGGTCTATTATATTCAGGTTAGGCTAGGAATAGGATTTGGGGAAAAGAGGAAAAATAATACTGTGTCTAATATAAACAGTTTTTTGTATTTTTTTTAAATTTAAGAGATCCCTAGAACACAAGAAAATTACCAAAAAAAATTTCTGAACGATAACTATGACTAAATTATAACTTCCAAGGCAAAAATACTTTCTTCAAAAAAGGCATGAGGATAAGTTTATTAAATATTTCGATAAGACTAAGTGATTAGTGTTGTCGGTGCAAACAATCAATAACCAATCTACAGATAAGAGAAAGAGAGTGATATTTAACATGCTAATGCTGAAGACTAGCCCAGAAGTGTTATCTTGTCCAGGGAAGAAAGCACTCCAGAGAAACGTGGTTTACAGCATGGTTATATACTGTTTCAGAATAAAGAACATACATCAAGCATGACAGGAATATAATGTTTTTTCCCCAAAGTCACAAGGACATGTTTTGCCGAGGTTTAGCACATTC